CGCGCGCGCACACACACACACACACACACGACACGTACACAGTCTGGTTTACTCCCTATTAGACGTTAAGCCCTTGTGGCACAGATCCAGCAGCTCCCTGCACCCTGCCCCCACCCCCCGCCAGCGCATGGTCCACCCTCAGTCCTTTTCCAGCAGTGGCCCCCACCTGCCCTGGCTCCATGCTGGAACCTGCTTCGCTTTGGCAGGGGTGGGTGCAGGGGAGGATTCCAGGGAGACATTGCCAAGCTGTGCCAGCCTGGCTGGAGGGAGCCACCTGCCCAAGGGAAAGCAGCTTAGGCAGGAAGGCAGATTTAGCCTGCAGCCTGTTCCTGCACACACTTCCCAGCTGTGACATCCCCCCATGGGGGGGGCGGGGGGGAGCAAGGGGCAGGAAGGCACTTGGAGAGGGATGGGACCAGAACAGCACAGGCACCTTTTTGTGGGGGGGGGCACTCCAAGGGCAGAGGAAGGACTGGAGGAGATTCCTGGTCCTCCTGCTACAGAGGTTTGGCAGTATGATTAGACACCCGACAGACTGGAAAGACTCTGGCTCCCCTCAGAACACCTCCCCTATCTACAGGCACTGGCCAGGCACCTATTAGGGGCCCAGGCCTCGAAACCCATCTGGCAGGGCCAGGTGAATGGAGTGAGACATTGTCCGGGAAAAGCCTGGGACTGCCACCATCCAGCCCCATCGCAGGGAGGAAGGTGATGACGGATCCCCCCACCCCACGACCACAAGCAGGCACTGTCTTATCCATGCAGGGGGGGCATGAGGGGGGAGCACCCTGGCCCGTTTCTTGCTCTGGCTCAGTGAAGGAGTAGCTACACGCAGGCCTGTCCTGCAGGCAGGGTTGGCAGACAGAGTGCATGGCACCTCCCGTGGTGGTGGTGGCGGGTGGGCAGGCAGGCAGCATGTGGTGGCACCAACCACCCTACAGTGTGCTTCAGAAGAGCCAGTTCCAGGCACCCAGCTGTCCTTCTCTGCTTCAGGGGCACTGCGAGCTCTGTCCCCACCCCACCTGGCAAGAACCCTCACTCCAGCATTGGCTCAGGCTGGCAGGAGGAACATGGCCTCGCTCAGTCCCCCCACCCCAGCCCAATCTCCTTGCCTGGAAGGGGAGAGGGGGGCAGCAGCTGAGACCAGGCCTGGCATTAAAGGCAGTGGATTAAACAGGTGCTATCTGGTCCTTGTAGTCTCCCCTTTTTTGGAGCTCCTGACCAGGCGGCTGCCTCGCCCCTCCCCTGCCTTGGACAGCAGGTCCCAGGATGGGGCAGACACAGGATGGGCTGGGGTCTGTGGCTCTCCGCTCTCTGCCTTCCAGGGCAGGTCCCTTCCTTCCTCTGGATCCCAGATGCAGCTCAACCCAGGAGAAGATGAAATCTGGTGGGGTGGGGCAGGTCTGTGCGGTCCATGGGGTCCAGGTGTCTTGTCACCTCCTGATCACAGGGTTCCAGTGATCCCCTTGGGGGAGTGGAGTCCTCCAGTCTCCTGGGGCTTCCCCACAGGAGTGTGCATCTGGCCCCGCCACCTCCTGTACCCAGAGCAGGGAGCTCACCCACCCACCTGCCAAACTGGCTGAGCTGAGGCAGGCACTGCTGGGGAGCAGGGGGGGCAGAGAGGGTGGGGCGCCGAGCCCCCCTGCTGCTTACTTCACATTGAAGACCATCAGTGGCCGTTCCTCGCGCTTCTGCCAGGGGCTCTTCTTGTCCCCCTGCTCATCCCCCGCCTCCGACGGGTCATTCATGTCGTCCTCAGGGCTGGTCATGGAGTCCCGGCGCAGCTCACTGTTGCTGCTGCGGGAGCTGTTGCCCCGGCTGCGGCCCCGGCGGGGGATGGTGGCAGCCCGGTGGTCGGCGTTCTCGTCCAGCAGTGGTGTTAGTGAGTTGTCCTCGGGGGAGCAGATGGCTGTGCGGCTCTCACTACTGCTCTGCTCCGTGTCATCGGTGAAGATCAGCTTGGAGTAGGCCACACTGGCAGGGGCTGGGGCTTGGGCTGGGGCGAGGGCCGGGGCAGGGGCTATGGGTCGCTCCCGCTCCCGCTCCTCCTTGGGCCGCTTGTGGGGCTTGGCCTCATTGACATCCACACCCGAGTCCAGGCTGGCATCATTGCTGCGGCTCTTCTCACTGGTCTGCAGGTCGATGTAGGAGTGCCGTACCTGGGAGGAACGCCCGTCCAGTGACACGAACCAGGCACGTGGGTGTGGCTTCACGCCCAGCTCCAGCAGCTTCTTCTCTGTCAGCGCCTGCAGCTCCCCATTCAGCTGGGCCATGGTAGACTCATTGAACAGGACCGGGATGGTGACAGAGCCACTGACAGAGGATGAGTGAGTCCCCCAGCCCTTGCCCTCCGAGTCCTCCCCCAGCTGCCCCGCCTGCTGCATCTGCTGGTACTGCTGGTGCTGCAGCTGCAGCTGCTGCTGGAGGAGCTGCCGCTGCTGGTCCTGGGGTCCAAACTGGTGGGGCATGGCTATCCCTGCCTGCACTGGCAGCCCTTCCATTTCAGCTTGGTTCTCCGCTGGGCCGGACCCAGCCTGGTCCGGCCCCGGATAATCTGATGCCAGCCGCATGTAATGGGCTGGGATGACCAAAGTGGGCATGACGTTCCTATACATGTTGTCCTTCATGTGGTCAATGGAGCCACAGAAGATGAGCTGCCCTGGCTGGGTCAAGGAGGTGGGTCTGGCCAGGTGATCAACAGACTGCGACATCATGAACTCGGGGGGTTTGGGCTCTCCCTTGTGCCCGACATAGTGGTCGAAGGGGGGCGGCAGGGGTGGGGGCGAGGGCGGCTCCTGCAGATAGGGCTTGCTTTCATTCCGTGAGTGCTTCCTCTGTGTCTCTGTGCTCTTGTCCTCCATGCGCTGGTGAGAGAAGCTGCGTTTGTACTCATCTAGCGGCGGGGGCTCCAGGGCACCCGGCACATCCATAGAGCGGGCTGCCTTCAAAGAGAAACCCTCCCCAGGCCTCTGGTAGTCCTCTTTGGGGGCGCCTCGGTGGCTAAGGGTGTCTGTGGAGGCCTTGCTGACATGCCGCAGCTTCTGGCTGGAGACCTGCTTGAAGAACTCCTCGCGGGAGCTCTCGAACTCACGGGAGGTGGAGAAGGCAGATTTGAGGATGGGCGTGTGCATGTCTGTGTCCCCATTGGATGATGTTGTCTCCATGTGGCCAGTGCAGATCAGGTTGATCTGAGACATTGAGGTGGCCTGGTCTTTCTTGGAGGCATCCAGGGTCCCAGATAACTGCAGTTTCCGGTGCTGTTGCCGGGGCTTCAAGCACCTCCTCCTGGGGATGCACACACAGGAATACCATCACAGTCCCTGCCCCATTTGGACACTAGCTCATGGCCTGGCACCACCCCAAGGGGGCTCCTCTACCAAAGCAGAATGAGCTACCTGTATTAAGGAACAACCAGCAGGATGCCACAAGGTCATCACTACAGCAGATGGCTGCAGGCCCCTGGGGTGTCCCTGTCCAGGCTCCACACCCCTCTGGGAGTTCATAGCACAAAGGAGGTAGCTACGAAATACATCCAGAACAAGCAGAGATGCTGATTCTGGAGAAACACATGTCAGAAGGGGTGACAGGTTGGGAGCTAAGCTCCATGCTCAGGCCCTCAAAGAGACCTGGTGGTTGGGGACCAGCTAGTTTCCACTGAACACTTGGGCTCTGGCTCACAAAAACTAGACAGCCACAGCCTCCTAGCAGTGCCCAGCCATGTGAGGGGTCTGGAGACTGGCACTACCCCCTGTTGGAGTGCCAGCCACACAATACCCCAAGGTTGCTACCATGCCTCTCACCAGCCTCTGGTGCAGGCTCCATGGTGAACCCTGGCTCTGCATTGACAAGTAAAACTGACCCACCAACCAGACCCATCTCTCTGTCCCACCCCCCTGCACCTCCTTCCTATGCCACCACCCTGTGGCCCATAGTCTGTCAGCACCAGTGCAAGGGCCCTTTACCCCTGTACTGTTAAATAGCAGCAAACACTGAAGCCTAGCTGACACAGGAAGCAGGGAGGGATGGGGAGAAGCCTCACCTGCAGTAGTAGATGAGCAGACAGAGCAGAATCAAGACCAGCAGGGCCAGCGCACCCAGGATAGTGAGCAAGAAGATGGTGTGGTACGTGGTGATATCCTTCATCCCTGCAGACATTGCCACCAGCCCTGGGAAGGGAGGCACCGGCACTCAGACACAGGCATGGGACCCTTGACTCCTAGCCCTTCTTGCATATATGTGGCTCATGCAGCCCAGCCCCTGGCCAGCCCGAGACAGAAGCTACCAACAGGGACAGTTGGCACCCACCAAGCTGACTCTCCCTCTGTGGCACCACTGGGCATGACAGGGCCCTGACCTCAGCCAGGCCCTCTTGGCAGAAGCAACACAAACACCTCAGAGGAGCTTGTCCTGCTGCGCTTGGGATGTAATGAGAGAATTTTCATCTGCCTGCTTGATGGGGGCCTCAGACCACCTCCCCACTGAGCCCAGTGAGGGGGGCAGCAAAGCACTGTTCTCCCACTTAACAGGTGAAGGAAGAAACAGCATCCCCTCTCCAGAAAGGAATCCCAGAAGTCCTGCCTGCTGCCCTCCCCCACTGGCATGCACCTACCTGCATCAACAGACAGAGGGGTGGTTTTTAAGACAAGAACACAACACTAGTGGGCAGCAGCATGTTCAGGTGGAAGCACAGGCTTGACAGAAATGGGGGTGAAATCAAAAACAGTTTGGGGGGTGCTGGCATGTGAATTGCCCTAGCACAACCTACCCAGCTGTAGGGAGGAGCTGCCAGATGGCTTTCCCTCCCCAGTGCAGTGTCCCAGCGTGCCCAGCTGGTGACTTGCCTCCTCCATGCCCACCCCTGCCTGGGGCACAGAGCAGTGCCTGGCGCTGGAGCGAACTGGACAGCCTCACTGCTGGCTGAGCAGCTAACGGCACCGGACATGCAGCAACAGAACAGACACTTCCTCCGGCTTTGCTTTATCCGGTGCTTTCCTGTCACCCCCCCACTGAACTCTCCTTCCTGTCCCCCACCCCAGCCATCTGCCCCTCCCTCCCTCCCTCCCTCCCTCCATGTCACCTCCTTGCAGCCTCCTCCTCATGGGCTGCATAGGCCAGGCTTCTGGCAGACAGAAACCAGGCAGGCTGGGCAGCTGGCACAGAGCTCTCGCTAAATGCTTAAAGCCACTGGGCCTGCCTGCCCCAAAGAGCCCCAAGTGCAGACGTTAAGAGAAGCCCCCTCCCTAGTGCAGGGCAGCTGTAGAGGGGTCTCTCCTGCAATGATGTTTGCACAGAGGAAGTGGAGATTGACAAGAAGGCACCATCAGGCTCCATTCTAGGGTGTGGGGGGGAATCCACCAGAAGATGTGGGAAGCCCTTGGGTGCTCTGAGGGCTAGCCCAGCCTGACAGCTCACCAGTGTAAAAAATCCAGGCTGGATTTTGCTTGTCAGCTGGAGTAGATTTGGGCAGCTGCAGCTGGAAGTATGTGCTTCCTCCTAACCTGGCTCCATCTCCCTGGCTAGCTTTGCTCATACCCCATGTGCCAAGACCTGCATTGTCGATGGCAAGCCAGCTCCTTTCTGACCTTCCTCTGCAGGGAAGGCACTGGGGACAGTTTTTCCCTGGAACTCACATTTCAGCAGTATGAGGAAAGGGAGTAGGAAAGGACTGCCTCACCTGTGGTTGGGGAGGGCAGTGCTGCTGCCCAGTAACCCAACTGAGGAGAGACAAACGTCCAGTACAGCTGACGGCCTTCCTTCCTGATCAGCCCCGTCCCATTACGGATCCACAGGCCTAGGAGGAATAGACAGGGCAGAAAGTCAGCATCTCACCCCTGTCCTCGAGATGGAGACTGTAGCAGCAGCCCACCCACCCCTCTGGTCCAGCATCACCAGGGCACCATCTCATTGGTTCAGATCCCTTACTATCCCTTGCCAGTCTCCCTGCACCCTGAAATCCCATCTCCTGTCTGCAGTCCTTCTCACACAGTGTCTTGCCTCTCAGAATGGTCCCTGTCCTACCCACTAAAAAGCAATACTAAATTGGAGGGGCAGGGAAGTAGTTTTTTCTGCCTGGCTCCTGCCCTGGGGTGCCAGGATCAAACCCCTTGCTGCTGTGACACTGGTTCCCCAAAGAAGTGCACTGCAATCATAACTGAGCTATTGAAGCAGAGGATTTCCTGCCATGGGTATTTCCGGGGGTGCTTGCTCCTTTCCTTTGGGGCTTCTCAGACCTACACTCACCAGAGGTCTCAAAAGCCTTCCCCTTACCTCACTCCTGTCCCTCCCCACAAGGAGAAGTCTCCTACCCCCTTTGCTCACAGCTTGCAAAAGAGGAGTGGGCATCTCTGTGTGCTTGGCAGGCAATGGAAAAAATAAATCCCCTGCCTTAGAAATGCAGCTTCTCTTGCCTTCCTGCATGCAATGTCATCAGCAGTCTCCCCTGCTTTGCCAGCCCTGTTGATGTCCCAGCAACATGCTGCCATGCCCTTCCCGCATACCAGCTCTGCCAGGGCTCCTCAGTCCCATCCTGCAGCCCCCTGCTACTCCAGCCTTGACTCCTCCAAGCTCAGTTGAGACCCCAGAGCCCTCCACACTGTGCCAGTTCTGGATGCCCCCTCAGCTCTGCCCATGAGTGGTGCCTCCTGAATCTGGCAGGGCATCTGCAGAAGCCGTTGACCCTGTCATGGGGGGGCACCAGCCCTACCAACAGCATGAGTGTCAGCTGTCGGGGGGGCACCAGCTCCATAGGGGGGGCACGTGCACCCCCTTCCAGTTGCCTATGGCTCTGCCAATGCCCCATGATCCAGCACAGTCATCCTCTGCAGATCTCTTCTACAGCCAAACACACCTGCCAACCCCTGGTTGGACCCCCCCAGCCTGGTAGGGAAAGCTTTTCCCCCTCAATCCCTCTGTTCGCAGGGCAGGAGGTGGGCTAGGGCCCAGGCTCCCCATGTTCTGGCAAACGAGAGCCAGCACAGGGGCTAGTGTGTGCTGGTTGCATCACAGAAGAGAAAGGAACAGGTCTCTCCCCACAACACCCCTCCACAGCAAAATCACAACCATTCCCCAAGGGCTGCCATTATCCTACATGTCTAAAGCCACCAGGGCCCTGCTAATGGTGTTTTATTACCACTTAGGCAGTTTTATAGCACTGCCAGGCAAGGTGCCCTGTAGCCCAGGGAAAAGGGGGAGGCAGGAAGGGACCGATTTCTGCAGCAGTGAGCTCCATCTCAAGCACAGAGCTGAGAGCTGCAGCACCTGGCATGGGGAGGGAGGGGAGATGGTGTGAGACATTCCCAGCCTCTCATCCCTTTAACTCCATGAGCTGCTTCTCTGCGGGCACCAGATGTGGCCACGTAATCCTTCTGCTTTAACCTCACATCCCAGAGAACACTGTTGCCTGTCTCCCTCTGGAAGATAAAATCCTGCACCATCCTTTTAAAACTGCCTTCCCTATCCCCACAGCTGGCATTTCAACTTCCTCCAGACACAGGGCTCTGATCACAGCTTCTCACCCCAGTGCTCCCGTGCTGGCACAAAGTCAAATAGGAGCAGGAAGATCCCCCAACACGTCTTCAACCCACAGGGCCTGGGGAGGTGGCATTCACAGGGTGCCACTGGGAGCCAGGCCTACCTCCCCTCAAGCTGACCCTCAGAACATCCAGCCAGGCACTGACCTCAACCACCACCCATCCCCTTGAAGAGGAGATCCTGCTCATCCAAAAATTCTTGAGGCCCTTACCACTCTTGGTGTCAAACCTCCAAGCTGGCACACTGGTGGCTGTCATGGCACTGGTGTCAGAAGGCAGTGGGATGGATAGGTGGACGGGGCCAGACAGCTGGACTTCGGTGCCATTGCCCGTGAAGAGGTGGACGCTGATGGCGGCGATGGGGGCCAGCTCCAGCCAGGTGCTGTTGGCTAGGAGGGGAGGCATCCCGTCAGCAAGAGGAGAATTCTGCTCTGCCCTGCCCCAGAGCTCCATGACTTCTTTTTTCATTCTCCCCAAACTTCCCCTCCACCCACCCCATTCTCCCCGAGGCCCCTCACTGTGTCCCATCCCACCAGGCCATCCATACCGTTGCCGTTGTTCTCAGCCCCAATGAAGGATGGGAAGCCTTTCATGTCATGCTCCCCACTAGCCGTGGTCAGTGATGCAGAAAGCTGGCTGTATGTGGAGCTGCGGGGCAGGCGAGCTGCCTTGCGCTGGAACTGCACCCATGGTTGGCTCTTGACCCCTGACAACAACAACAGATGTCACCCACTGGCCTCCACCAAAGGGTGGCCGCTGTCTGGCACTGTAGTGCCCCATAGATGACCCCCCCCACCCAACACTGGCCCTGCTAGGCTGTGCTGTGGGACCCAAGGGCTGAGGGGTTAGAAACACAAATAACTAAAGACAGCTTGTTTCCAGGGCAATGGCCAAGACTGGCCTGAAGGGCCAAGAGCTTGATCCCAGCCCTGTCAGCTCCCTCAGCACCCATGTCTCCATAAGCAGAGCAGAGGGCAGGAGCCTGCCATGCCAAGAGGACAAGCCCTTCCTCTGCGGGTGCCCTCACCTCAGTGGGCAGAGGGTAAAACAGGAAGGGAACACAAACTCCCCCACTGTCCCTGAAGGAATCCTACTATCAATCTGTCCTGGCCTCTCCTTACAGGTCTGGACTGGGTACACCCCAGCACAAGCAGGTTCTCTGCAGCAATCCAAGGGGGTGATTTTTGTGCAGACATAACAAGCATCCATCGCTGACACTGAGCAACTGCAGAGGCTGAAGCAGGAGGGATCCCTGAGAAAAGGGGTCTGGCATTCTCTGAGACACAGGTCCTTGCAGCCTGTGGTATGTGTGAGGCCAACCCATTGAGCCCCCATCCCTCCAGCCCCCTAGTGCTGCTGCCTGGGCCAGGTTAAAGGCAGTGCTGGCAGCTGGCACAGAGCCAGCCCTTGAAGAGGCAGCATATGGGCCACTAATGTGCTTGGGGCATCTCACCAGCTTTGTGGCTAGAATTAGTGTCAGGCTGCCCAGCTGTATTCCCAGATCGACAGAGCAGGGGAATCCGGCACCCTGCGTACCAGGCTACCCCGCTGCTGCTCTCCTCCAAATTGTCACAGCACCTGCTCCAGCACTTAGGAGAGGCTGTGCACCCACTACCACCCCAGTGCCCACAGCCAGAGTCCCACAATCACTTCTCCCTGCCCCCATCCCCATAGCACATGACCAGGGCCACACACCCAGGGCTGCTCACTCACCCCCACCCAGCCCTATGCCCAGCCTGTGACACTCGCCGCTGCTCTCATGCACACTTGACAGACTTCTGGGTGCTTAAAATGACCCATCCCAAGCCCCAAAGCCCCATACCCCAGCACATCTATTCCCACTATGCCTGGGCACATACATAAACAGCCCAACCCCTGGCAAAGGGGGCTGGACACATGCAGGCACAGCCCAACCCCTGAGGTAAAGGGGTCAGACAATACCTGGGGCTGGGCAGCACCTTTCCTCGATGAACCATAGCATTATCTCCACTGGGCAAGTGCACAACAGGGGAAAGGGACTTTGCCCTGGGTAATACAGAAGATTGAGGCCAGGCCCAAAAATAGAACCCAGGAGTCCTGACTCCCAGGTACTTGCTCTAACCACTAACCCAGGCTGCCTCCTGACTCAAGCCTCTTACCTGGTGATCCCAGCAAGATCTGCACCAAGTCCTCATAGAGGATGAGGGTGGCGGGTCGTTCCGGGAGCAGATACAGGCTCACAGAGGCATACACTGCAGAGGAGGAGAGATGTCAAGAGCCCATGAGTGGCAGGCAGAAGGTGCTGAGGCAGAGAAGCTGCAGCGCAGAGGAGTCAGGGCTCCAGCTATGGTAGCAGAGCTATACTGTTGGACTGGGATGTGTGCAGCATGGAGAAAGCCAGGGTACTCACTCAAAGAGACGCATGGTAGGATGGTGCTAAAAATCCCAGCACCTGACACTGAGAATGCAGGGCAGCCAAAGGAGGCAGGAGCAAGGAACAGTCAAATAGCAAATCCCTGCTAGCTGCTCCATTCCCTGCCTCCTCTAAGAGGGGGCACTGCAGGGTGGGGGGCCTGAGTACCAGCTAGGAGTAGACCTGATTGCTCCAGCCCTCCCCCCGCCCCTGCAGGGGTGCCGTAGGGAGCAGTGCAGGAGTACTGGCTGTGGGCTCCCAGCCCCAGCCTCTTCCAGTCATACTGGGTGCAGAGATGACATGGTTGCAGGGGCATATCCACAGGTGGGGGTTGGATCCCACTTTGATTCCTGCTGCACCCACCTTTGATTCCTGTTCCACTTAAACTTTAAAACAAACTGCTGGGCAGGAAGAACTACATTTATATTTAGGGGGAGCGAAGGGAGTCAATTGACTCAATATTACCTACCTGATTTCTGCTAATCTCTTCACGCCATAGATGTTAATAACCCTTGATTTTCCTCTAATGAAGCTAGCCTTTCTTCTACAATTATCAATGATCCCGTCTATTATCTGTGCCTGGTCACATTTCTCTGTGCATCTCCCAACAAATCCAACAAAGGTGTGGGGCTACCTACCTAGGAACCTGGACTGGGTGGCTTTCCTGCTACAGGAATCAAACCTACAACAAATCAGAACCAGGGAGGGGAGATGCATGGCTAAAAGTAGGCTGAGCTGTTCAGTAGTGCAGCAGTCAGAGAGGCAGGAGAGAGTTGCAAAAATGAGGTGAAGAGGTAAATTACTGAAGTGACCCTATCCTGGGATATTATTTATTTCAGCAGATGACACAGATTGAACCAACGGTGCAATCAGAGTGGCTTAAACCTGGGTGTGGGTGGATGAAAGGGGTCAGTCTCCATGGGGTAGAGGCACTGCCAACAGCTAAAGTGAGTCCTTCTCCAGCCCCAACTGTTTGTTGCTCTATGCTGAGGGTGGAGGGCAGTAGAAGCCAGCTATAGGCATACTGTAGGAGGGGGGAGCAGCAAGGGGGCAGTTACAGCTCTGCCCCCACATGCCTTATAGTTGGGAGCCATGAGGGGTGGGGGGAACTGTTTGGGAGGGGTTTTGAGTTAAAGGGGCTCCCAGGGGGCATGAGGGGCTGGAGTGGGGGCCACAGGCACCTATGGGCTTTTGTGGGGAGGTAAGCCTATGTGGTAGAGGGTGAGAAGGGGCTGAGGTGTTAAAGGGGGGGAGGTATGAGGGGCAGATGGGTCTGGGAATCAGGGAGGTGGTGGGGTCTATGGAGACTCAGCAGGGTGTGATGGATCTGGTGAGGAGTCAGGGGGCTGAGGCATGATGCAGTGGATTCATGGGGGCAATGAAATGCAGGGGGATGGTGGGGTCTGATGGGTTTGGAGCACAAAGTGTTGGGGCTGAGAATGGGGGATACATAGGATAATGGGGGACAGAGAAGAGCCAGGGAGCATTTGAGATAGCAGGGGCAAAGAACAGAGGGCAGTGAGGGGCATTTTGGGGCTGTGGTGGAGTGTCTGAGGGACTTGTGGGGGAGTACAGGGAGCAATTCTGTCCATGGCCAGGCTGGGGGGTAACAGCTGTACCCCCCGTGCACCAGATGTCTGCCCAACCCTGGAGCTGGTAGTCAACCCCCCCACAGACTCAGGCAGATTTCTTTTTGCTGGGATCACAAACTGAATTATACGGCCCCGGACACATTAGTGCAGCTTCAAGTTTCCTTTTATTTGGAGAAAAAACTGTGTTGTGTTACGGGATCATGTACCACACCACCTGCACCCCCCTTTTCAGAATCCTAGATCCGCCCATGCCTGGCTGCACCCAACCCGCCTGCTCTGCTGGGCTGAAAACCCCACCCTGGCCCTTGAGGGCCCTTGGGTGCCAGCACTACTCTGTATCCTAGGGGAACAGAGCATGCTCAGTGAGAGCAGCAGCTGAACAAAGGCTTGGGCAGGCAGCGAGCAGAGAAGAAGAGAGGGAAGCAGCCTTCCAGAAGCCAAGATGCAGAACAGGGCAGCTGAGTGCCACCATTAAACCAGGGCAAATGCAGTCTGAGCCTCTGACCACCTAGAAAACAGGTCATGGATGGGAAGCCTGGCACAGGGGCATGGCACAAGGTGAAGATGAGGTGATAGCTGTAGCAAGTCACTGCTTGTTGTAGCTCGGCACCAGAAATGTGCAGCACTCCCTTGCCACCCACCCCCAAGAGCACATGCACAGCGACACATACAGATATATACACACCTTGAACACACATGCACAGCCATGCCCACCTCGGCTTGACTCCTCAGCCAGCCCCAATATAGGGAAGCCCCATTTGGGGTTTGTTTGTGACAGTGCTCTCCACACAGGACCCTCCCTGCCACCTTCCCACTGGCCCTGTAGGGGAAGAGCCAACCCTAGCATCTCTGATCTGACACTCAGGCACACATGGCAGCCCCAAACGGCTCCCATGGGCAGAAGGGCAAGACCCCCTCCTGTCAAATGAGCACAGTCTGTGCCTTCGTGTCCTGATTTACGTGCGCCACATCGTGGCTCAGTCAGGCTTCCAAGGACTTGCTACCATTTTTCAAGAAAAGGACCTGGCCAGCCACACCCAGCCTGCTCTCAGACTCCACTGCCCTGAAGCAAGGAGTGCTCCCTACCTAAGGGACTGAAATGCCTACGCAGGGAAGATACAAGGGTTAAAGAAGGCAAGTTACCCCTGCACAGGGTGGGAAGCAAGACCCATGGGGCCTTCCTGGAGGGGGAGGCACCCAGGGGAGACCAATCCCTGAGGTCTGGGCAGGGGCTGGGAGTAGAAGGCAAGGGATGCTCTCTTGGAGTGACCTCTCCTCCCCTCCCATCTCCCTGCCATCAGACTTCTCCAGCTGTTCCTGCAGCCTCTCCTCAAAACAGCCCCCATGCGCAGCAGCTCTGTGGGGAGATGGTATCTGCAGGGGCCATATAAATAGCACAGCAACTGGGAGCACACTGTGGGGTGTAGGGAGGGCGTTGAACAGATGGTGCTGGCTGCAAGCAGCAGGGCCTGGGGCCCCCACGTCTCCAGGGAGCAACTGCATACCTAGACACTGCACTCACTCCCAGCACCCAGCCCTACCTACTGCCAGCTGATGGGACAGACACAGCCCCTCCGCCGTGGACAGAGTAGCTCTCTGACGTGAGATGGGGTGCCAGTTGGGAATGGGGTGGGGGGGTGTGCTGGAGCATGGAGGCAGTGTTTGAGAGACAGAGAAAGCCCCTTCCCATCCTGCCACACATGTCCCCTCTGTGCTCACACATGGCAACCCCTGACTGCCAGACACCTCTGCTCCGCCAAGGCAGCCTGCAAAGAAGTCAATGCATGGGGCTGTTGGGTACTGTTGAGGCTTCGTTTTAGCACAGGCCTCACACACAGTCAATGAGCTCCCTGTTAAATCAACATATCACAGCAATGCAGACCCAGGCTGAGGCACCAGCACTCCCACCTTCCCCTGCACCCACAGGGCTGACATGCAGCTCCTTCAAATTGGGACAACCTGCCTAGGCACCACCACTGCTTTCAGGACCGGGAGCGGTCCTCCCCCAGAGCTCACATACACTGCCACAAGGCCAATCACTTCCCCCGCCATGCCTGCCTCACACTCCTCCTAAGCCACTCAGACCCCAACTGCATCCCTTTCCTTCCCCACATGCCCCTCCTGCCTCCTGCACATGCCCCCTTAAACACATTCAATACACACACATCAGCCTTGCATCAGATACACACACCCCCACAGCTCCCCTCACACTCATGTCAGCGATACGAGTCACCCCCCCACAATATGCACTGGCTCTGCCCCTGCCTCTTCTCTGCCAGCCTATCCCAGACCTGCAGCCTACACAGAGAGGAAGGTGGAGGCCCAGCTCCCCAGAGGCCATTGATACTCTCATGGGTCCATCGCCTGCAGGAAGGTCACCAGTATCGACCCTTCCGTCTGCGCTCCATGAAGCCACCCTGTACTTTAGCTTGGTTGATGCAAGGGACCTGCAGGCAGCTGCTGCTTGGCACAAGGCCCAGGTTAACGCCAACCTGCCAGGCTGTCCCACACACTAGGAAGGGGACTGGGGAAATGAATCCCCATGAGGGAGATGTAGAAAGGAGGGGCTGGGCATCCCTGACATTTGGTTATCAGATGGCAGAACTGCATGGCCCTGTGTCAGGTGAGCAGGACAGGAGAGGACAGAGCACCCACTGGGAATGGCAGTAGGGGTCAGGAAAGGAAATTACAACCCCCCCCACAGACCCTCCCCGGGCCACACAGCACCCTTATGCCCCATGCCAACAGGGGCTGTCTGTCGCTTCCCGAGATCCCTACAGACTACCTCTGTCCCTCTCCCTTCCCCAGATCCTCCAGTCTCACACTGGGAAGGATTCTCTCTGCCCCTCTGTGCCCCAGCAGGGAGAGATTGATTCTGCCCCTCATAACACTTCCTCTTCAAAGCCTCCTTCTAGCCCCTTCACTAACCTAAGGCCCAGCACTCACTGCTCTAGCCATCTGGTGCAGAATAACGCAGCCAGGCACCCAGGGAAGCTGTCACACACAGGGACAGCAGTGACTTCCAGCTGCTGCCATACCACTAGTGCCCACCCTAGTTATGCTACTGGCCTGGCCCAACACTCCCAGCACTGGAAAGCTGGGCTGAGACTCCAGCTCCCTTTCTCTCTCATAGTTTTATAGTTTCCAGGGTCGGAAGGGACCTGAGTAGATCATCTAGTCCAACCCCCTGCCATGGCAGGAAAGAGTACTGGGGTCAAATGACCCCAGCAAGGTGTACATCTAGTGGCTTTGGTGAAATGGGCTGCTCCTAGCTACCTAGCCCAAGAGACGAAGAACTATGGCTCATCAGCCAAGAGCCAGCCCAAAAAGGCAGCATCCTCAAACCCATCCCAACAGGGAAATGCCCCCTCACTCTGCAGTACACCAGACCCTGCATAGCCAAGTAGGGGAGCATCCCCAAACTCCATAGGACCACTGACCAAGAAAGAGGGTATCTCCACATCTCCTAGCCTACTCCAGCCAACCACCTCCAAACTCAACCATTAGCCCAAGTTCAAAGAGGATCATCACTCAAAGATGGAATACTGTAAACTCCCCAGATCCCTCCAGCCAAGTAAGGGAGCATCCTCAAGCTCCTTAATCCCTGCAGCCTTGTAAAGAAATGTCTCCAAACCTCCAGCCTGGACAGGGCCCATCCCCACTCCAGAGAACATGTAAGCAAAGTGGCATTGGGCAGTCACTCACGTGGCAGCTTGTCGACACGCCAGGGCACAGAGTTGGTGACGTAGCTCCGCTTGGTGGCAGTGACTAGGATCCAGGTCCCCAAGCGGTAGCTGATGGGCAGCACACCAATGCCCTCATGGTCTGTGGAGCCTGAGGCCAGCGAGGTCCGGTTCCCATAAATCTCCACGGCAGCCTGGGCCAGGGGGGAGAGGTCACCACTCTCATACACCTGCACTTTGATCAGCACCTCTGTGGGGGGAAGAGAAAGAAGGTTGAGAGGGGAGCTGGGCCAGTGTCTCAGTGCTACTGCACCCCACTCCCATGGGCAGCCCACTGAGCCCTATTGCCTCCATTTCAAGGGCTGTCCTGACCTCCCCCAGCCCCAGTCCACAGACCAGTACCAACTGGGAGAAGGCAGGGGAACACCATGGAACAGGCCAGGAGACTCCTTGCCCTTGACAGCTTGCAAGGCCAGCCCCACATAAGGAACCGCCAGACCTCATTGCAGTGAGCCTAGAGTTGTCCTTGGCACCCAGGATCTGGGCCCAGTAGACAGTAAAGTCCCAGCTTCAGCCATCTTCAGGCCCAGCTTCTGCTTCTGTGCAGAGGCAGTTCCCTGCCTCTGCACAGAAGATGGGTGAGGCAACACAGACCCTGGGAGACCATGTGCAAACACCCACCTTGGCCTGAGGAAAGGCAGCACGTCCAGGGGATGGGGAGCCAGGAAACCTGGCTTCCAGTCCCATCTCCCCAACTGACTTGCTGTTGTTATTAAACACTGCTCAGAGCTGAGGCTCTCTCTTCCACTGTGCCTAGCTGGCATTTCCATCCCAAAGACCTCTGCATGGGTAGATTAGTGCTCCACCACGGCCAGGCTCAGGGAAGACTCAGTGCCTAGGGGAAGGGCTGGGTATAAAAAGCAATGAGTTTTGTACATGCAGCCTTGGTGCTAATAGCCATGCATTTCATCCAAGTGTCAATATTGCCAACCCAAAAAATCATGAATCAGGCCTTAAAAATCACCATATTTGGGAAAAAACAGGAATCTGGGGTCCTTTTACTGGCTTTTTGAGCCATCAGGCTTACATCTTCCAGCTTTTCCCTGTAAACTAGGGGTGTACCGATAGAGGTTTTTTGGGCCGATACTCATGGCCAATTTTAAACGAGCCATATTGGTGGATACCGACCCAATTCTGATATGCAGCCCCGCAGCATGGAGAGTGGCGTCTGGCTGGTAAATGTGTTGTGAAGGAAGGGGTATGGGGGGAGCAGATCATCGGCCCCCGCAGTGAGGGAGGGAGTAGGGCTAGTGCTGGAGCAGGTGCTGCCCAGCTGGGGTGGGGAAGGGCAGGGAACAGAGCTGTGGCTTGTCTGGGGGCACGGGAAAGGGGCACGGGAAGGCGGGGGGGCAGCTCCCACCACTGCACATACCCCAGGATGGCATGCAGTCATGTGCCCCCTGGATCTGCACATGGGAGAAGGGTGGGCTGTCACTGCGGGTTGGGGCCAGGGCAGCGTTGGGCTCTTTCCAGTGGGGGTTGGGCCGGTCTGAGCTTGGGGTGGGCAGTGGCAGTGTTGGGAGTAGGGCTACAGCCAATTTTGGGTGGCTGCTGCCCACACAACCCCCACTTCCAGCACCACCACTATCTACCCTGAGCACAGCCTGTCTCAGTGCCCCTGCTGGGAAAAGCCTGGCATAGTCCTGGCCCCAACCTGCAGTGGCAGCCTGCCCTTGCCCCACAGGTCTGGAGGCACATGCCCCACTGCCCTCCTGGGGTGCATACAGCGGCAGGAGCCACCCCCTCCCTCCCTGCACCCCCTGGGCAAGCCGCGGCTCAGTCCCATGCCCTGCTTTGCCCCAGCTGGGCAGCACCTGCCCCTACCCCTGCACCAGTGCCTGCCCCACTCCTGCCTTCACTGCAGGGGTCTTGATCTGTCCCCCTCGCCCAGATTTACCAGCCAGACCCAGCTGCTCTCCACACTGCTGGGCTGTGCTCCTGGCCACCTGCATGTTGCACTGTGGTTGTGCGCATGCATGCAGCATTTATCAGCCACATTACTGGCCATGTCCAACAAAAAAAGCTGACTGCCGATACTCTCAATTTTCCTTAAATCAGTGCTGATCCAATATGGGACTGATGTATCAGTGCACCTCTACTGCAAACAGGAAGGTGAGAAACTTTTCATAAAAAAGAAAATGAGAGCTGAGCTTTCCACCTAATCCTATGTCTCCAGGATCTAGGGGATTTAAAATAAACACCACCAAATATCATGAGTTGTCAACATTACTTGGGGAAAGGCCTGAGGGCACTGAGGCCAGAAGTAACTGTTCCAGGAGCACCAAGTCACGAGCCAACAAACATGTGTCAGAGGTTGGAGATCCTCGCCTCTTTGAAGAGCAGACAGGTCAGAGGGGTCTGGCTAAAGGTCAGTGCAAGCTCCCAGTACTCCCTGGCAGCTACAGATCTGGGATCTGCCACAGTATTCTTAAGAGCAAAAATTTCCCTCCTCTCCACCCCCTACTAATGGGAGGATCCTGAAGCACTGATATTTCCAACTGTCTCCTCTCCAACAGAACCAAAAGAGTCTCTGGAAGGAGGAACTGGCTCTGGATCTCAGCTCCCTTGAAGGGAGAGGAAGGGGCCTCTGAGTGATGGCGTGTGCAGCTGGATCAGAGCCACTGCAGCTGCCTCGTTCCATTGCACTACCATAAGCTGCCGTCCTCCACCCACATCACTCCAGGGGCTTTGCAATTGGAATGACAGCCACTCCTATGTCTCCTGAGGGGGGGACTCCCTTCTCCCCCAGCATCCCCCCACAGTGGAGCTGTATAGCCTGGATAGGAGTACCAGGGCCCCAAAAGATGACTTGGTCAGTCTGGGCTGCTAAGAACTGGACATAAGCTACTCCCACGTGCAAGGAAGTTGGGCTCAGCTCAGCATACAGACAAGGAGGATCTGCAAATGTCAGAACCTCAGCCTTGATCTGGCCAGGGGCCCCTTTCATTGCTTGCCCCAGGGTCAGCACTGTCTTCTTGCAGCATCCCACCCCCATTGGAGGCAAGGGCAGTGAACAAATGGTTTGGGGTGGGGCTGGCTTGGGGACCTACATAAACTCAGCACTAGCAAGAGATGCCAGGCCCACCACCGAAGCAACTGCACACCTCTTGCAGCCGCTGCTTCTGCAGATGAGGGGACAGCATAATGTCTATAGGCTTTTTTTCTCTAGCAAGAGGCTCTTGGTGTCAACTGCAAGGGTATTTTACTGTGGAGACCATCCTATGAAAACTATCCAGGGCTTCCCTGAAACTACTTGACCACAGCAGGACTCACTTAGTACCTCCTTCACAAGTAAGGGGTGCAGGGGCAGAGAGGCAGGGTATGGCTGTAAGATGAAACTTGAAAAACCCAGATCCTGTCTGTTCTCCAGAGAAGCAAGATTTGGGGCCAAATCAGCCCTATTCTCCACATTCCTGGGCTGACCATGACCCTACACCCCAGAGGCACTGATGCCCTGTATCAGACACATGCAGCAAACCCAGACCCAGGTGATGTCAATGAATCTCTAGGGATGACTCCAGGAGTGGGGGTATCCTTCTCCTAACAGAGCTGGGGTGCTGATCACTGCCGACTAGATCCCAGCTACCACTAGTGAGGGCCATTGCAAGGGCCCTCAGAAAAGCCAAGCAAGTCACTGGAGCCAAAGCTTTTACAAATGTACTTGGGAACGTGGCCCTCTGAGCAACAGCTGCAAAGCCAGGTGGCAGGATCCCATAAGAGGAGACTGCCACATATTTAGAGACAGCACGGCTTGCCTGTTTTCCACTGGGGCTACCCCAGACGCAGCCAGAGCAGGGTTGGGCTTGGCTATTCTAGGCCTGCAGGGTTCACCCAGACCCTAAGGATTTCTCTAGACATTGCACCAATTAGCAAAAGCACTACAGACACACTTCAGGAGCATGAAGCAACCTTCCCTGTGGTGCTGCGCCTCCCCTCTGGCTGTAGCGCTAGCCAAAGCAAATGGAGCCAGAGTGAACAGGGCCTCGATCCCTTTTTCAAACCAAAGGGTCCCTTACTGCCACAGCCTGGGTTTAGAGCTGATTTGGTCACATATGACGCAACTTCAGTGGTTCTCAACCCCACCACTAGCCTATATTAGCACCAAATTGATCACAAACTGTAGTACAGCTGCTGGTTTTCTCTGGGCCACAACTGGGGGGCATGAGCAGAGCTGGGAGAAATGGGGGGCAGGGGGAAGTAATCCCAGTGCTGTAGGTCAGGACCGAGGAAGTTCAGCAGACCTATGGGGAAGGCCACTGAATGGGAACAGCATAAGGGTTGGGACAGAGAGGTGTGAGCAGAGCTGTGGGCATGGGCAGGGGGAAATGTTGGGACTGGAAAGGCCAAGGTGCTGCAGGTTGGGCCAAGGCAGGTGGACTGAGCTGGGGAAGGCTGGCTGGACTAGCACACCGCAAAGGGGGCTGCCCTGGCTAGCAACGCAGGCGCTGCACATTCAAATGCAGCCGCGGTAGCTCCAGCTCTGCTCCCCTGGGAGCCTGCGCAGAGCTGTCTGTGGGTTACCGTCCCCAGGGGTGGGCACAGCCAGCCTCCTAACACAAAAGCCAACACCCCCCCTGCCCCACCCCACACAGGAGTGAGCATGTACACATACATGCAAACACACATGCACACACATACTCGCTCTCCCCAGAGACAAGCTGTGCGTGAGCCCCCTGCCTCAGGCGGCTGGCCTGGGCTCTCCGTTTTGGAAAGGAGAGTTCCTGTCGCCCTGGCAACGACCTCATTCATCCCCCCTCCGCCCGGCCCTGCCACAAGAGAAGCAGTGGCTTTCCCTCAACAGTGGTAGAAAGCAGTGCTCAGCTCAGGCCTGGGCCTGGTGTGTGCCTCCCCCCTGCTTTACATCCGTGCTTGGATTAAGCAGAAAGCAGTTTCCGGGGCCAGGCACTGTTGCTAGGGGGTTACCATGGCAGCCGTGGGGGAGCAACAGGTTCCCACATGGGGGGAGCCAAGTGCGGACTGGCCAAGTGCAGGCCAGGCCCCAGCACAGCTATGAGCCCTCCCCCATCGCTCCCCGGAGGCACCCCCAGCCCAGTGGGGCTTGGCTGGGTTTGATCAGCCTTCACTGGGGCTCAGCCAGGAAGCTGGGTTCAGCCTCGGCGCCTGCTTAATGCCACCTGGTTCAGGGGCTGCCAGGCCCAGGCAGGTCTCTGGAATTGGGGCTCTGGGAGC